GTGTATGCTATTAAAATTGAATTGCTATTCATCTGAATGATATGATCTCAGGTATATTGATTCTTTAAATTTTCAATGGCTAATTTCCCAGAAGTGGTCCATTACTTTTTTTTCTTCCTAGTTTGTCTTACTCTGGAAGCTCTGCTGAAACCTTTTCACTATAGGTGACTGCTGGTACTTTAAATACCAGGGACATCAGCATGCAAGCTACCCCAGTCTGACAGACAGACGTGCATCAAGAGGCAGTTGTTTGAACAGAGCAATGGGGCACTGGTTTAAAATCAGGAAAGGTGTATGTAAGAGTTGTGTCCTTCTACAACACTTACTCGATTTATATGCTGAGCAAATAATCTGTACCGCTTGACTCTGTGAAGAATAATGAGGTATCCAGATTAGATGAAGGCTCATGTCCAACCTGCAAGACACAGACGGCACATCTCAATGACTGACAATGAAGGTGTCTAGAGGGTGAAGCTTTCAGTATAGCTCACACCGAAGAAATAATGTGAAGAAAGCAAAACTCTTTACAACTGGCCAAGTAGACAACATTATTGTCAAGGATTTTGTTTTGTTTGGATCCACGATCAATGTGTATGGAAGCATTCGTTCTGAAATCAAATGATATATGGCACTGGGCAAATCTGCTGCACAAGACCTCTGTAAAGTGTTAAGAAGCAAAGATGTCATTTTGAGGACCGAGGTGCACTTGACCCAAGCCAGGGTCTTTTCAGTCACCATCCATGCAGGCAAAGGCTGGATAGTAACTACAGCTGCAGAAGATCGCTGCATTTGGAGCTTGGTGTTGGCAAAGAGTATTGAATACACCATGTACTGCCAGAAGAATGACCTGATTCGTTTTCGAAGTACAGCCAGAATGCTGCTTAGAAGCGAGAAGGCTGAGACTTTGTCTCACGTACTTTGGGAGTGTTATCAGGAGAGATCAGGTCTTGGATGTCATGCTTCTAAAGTAGAGGGTCAGTCAGAAAGAAGACGGCCTGCCATGAGATAGATTAACACAGTGGCTGCTACAATAGGCTCAAACAACGACTGTGAGGATGGTGTAGGATGGGGCAGTGTTTCGTTCTACTGAACATTGGATTGCTCTGTTGGAACAGACTTGACAGCAGTGTGGCAGTTATATAATCCGTCAACTTGAAGAAGGGGTGGAGTCTGGCTTGTCAATCAGATCCCAGCTTGATGACCTCATTTGCAGGTGCGAAGGAGATAAGTAGCTCACTGGAGTCCGGACGCACTCACTCCCTGTGAGACATTCCTGTTGACAAGCCACGTGGAGCTGCGCTGATAGAGTCAAGCCCGGAAACTGGAAGAGCCACATGGAGACCCACACCAGCACTAAGATGCTTCCACCACCATTGGATACTCAAGATTTTTCACCCACTGGCCTGTGCTCTTCCTGCACTCAGTATCATTGCATGTGTTGTGTGAATCTGAAGAGGAATTTATAGACTGGTATTGGACATATGGGCTAATATCAGACTTATGGACTTGATCT